AGATGTGTATTAAGACTAAGACATCTGAATCTGAATACACATCTGAATATATTAAGATGTGTATTAAGATCTGAATACTAAAATTTAAGACGTTTGGATTTTTAACATCTGAAGGTATAAAATTTATCTTTATTTGAAAAATAATAAACATAAAATTCAAATGAAATACTAACTAATCTAATATTCTATCAATAAAATATATAATTTTTTAAAATATGATAGTTGTTGGTGGTGATGGCTAATGGGTGAATGCCGACTAAATGCGATGGTTGGTGGTAGTTTTGAGTGATGATGGTGGTTCATGCTAGTAGCTAGTAGTGATTGGTAATGGTGGCGAATCTGATTGAGGATGGTGGTGGTGGGTGGTGATAGTTAATAATGGCGGGTGGTGGTTGTGATTGAGGAAGGTGGAGGTAGGTTATAATGATGGGCGGTGCCGGCTGTGGTTGTTGATGGTGATAGGGTGGTTAGTTGTGGTAGTTGAGGTGGATATGTGTTGATTGTGGACGAAAATGATGGTGGTCGAAGTGGTGAGGATGGTAGGTGAAGATGGTCGATAATGGTGGTGGCTATGATTGAGGATGATGGTGGCGTGGTGGTGGTGGTGGTTGAGTATGGTGGTGGTGGTGGCATGGTGGTAGTTGATAATGGTAGGCGGTGACGGCGGTTAATAATGAATATGTGATAGCATCTTAATGAAATTAAGTGTCTGTTATAGATCTTTATCATACAGACGTATTCAGACTCATTAAGTGGTTGTGAAGTAAAAAAACAAACACACTTAATGATTAAGATCTGAATAATTAAGATTCAGACTTTAAAAACAAACGCACTTAATGTCTGAGATCTGGATGATTAAGATTCAGACCTCCATTAAGTGCAAACAAATGAGGCCTTAGGCTACCATATGCCAAATTCTAAAACGTAGGCTTTTTTTGCCAATTGTTGGACCTAGTTATCATGCCATGCCAAATTCCCCTGGTTAAGATGGGTGGACTCATTAAATGGATCATTGCCCAACCCTGCCCAAAGTTTACTTGGGTTAAGATTGGATGGGTCAAGAAGAGCTAAATAATGGATTGTAACCCAACCCGCCCAAATTGACCAAAATCCTTGCAATATTCTCAATCTTAAACAACTATATATAAAATATTCTCACATATATAATAATAATTTTTATTTTATTTTTCGTAAATATCATTCTGGAAATCATTATACTCTTTCTCACATGATAATGTATATAAAATGGCACGACATCACCCTTCGTACTTTACAACTCTTCCTCACATCATAATGTATATGAATGACACGACATCACCCTTCGTGCTTTACAGTCTTCCTTACCAAGCAAATGATATCAATAAAATGACAAGGCAGGAAGTATAAATACCATCGAGTAGAGTGTTCAAACGAATATTCCAACAAATTCTCAATCACGAAATTTCTAAGCCAACAATGATTCAATAAGCCATCAAGGGCCGTATAATTCAAGTACTTCCACAAATCTCACAATTTATCAGCAACACAAGTATAGAATCCAACATCTCAAAATGTCGACCGTAGCAATGTAGTAGTGATTACGCATAGAGATGACCAAACTAGACACATCAATATATTCTCATAATTCTATCAAATTTGATCAAGTTATATTAAGCTAAGTCTTGATTTTTAAAATTTTATACTACGTTCTTAATATCGATAACTCAAGTGAGGCATGAAGCAAGGAAGTTACGTAATTTTATAAGACACAATTATAGTACAATCTACACCGAGCATGATTAACCCCGACACATACATATACGCTCGTCACCTCATATATATATCGCCCCGCATGTAGCAAACAATGACAAATAGGAGGAAAATTTTCTCAACAAAGTTAGGCAAAATACTTACCTCAATTCGGCTAACTCAACACTCACTCTAGCCATTTTTCCTTTACAAATTTGCCCCCACTCGGCTCAATCTAGCCATCAACGACTTGAATACATCACACAATGGAAGAGAAAATAATTTCAATTAATAAAGCTGTGATTTTTATTAGATTTCCTAAAAGTCAACAAAAGTCAAACCCGGCCCGCCCGGTCAAAAATCGGGTCCAAGGGTAGGTCTTGACTACCCATAGCCTCACGAGTCCAATTATGTATTTTGTTTTCAAATCCGAGTCATATTCGACTCTCAAATCCCAAATTTTCATTTTTCAAGACTTTGACAAAATCCCCAAATTTTTCCATAGATTTCTCATGGATTTGATGTTAAATCTTGTCTAAAATCATGAAATATAGTTGGAAATTGATTAAAGATACTTACCCAACGATTTGGTATGAAAATCCCCTCTCAAAATCGCCTCACCTCGAAGTTAGGGTCCAAAAATATGAAAAATGAAGCAAAAACTTGGAATTCTCTATACTTAATAGGCTGCAGATGTCGCATTTGCACATGGGGTTCACAAATGCGAACCCCGCAATCAAACATTCAATCGCAAATGCGCGGGTTTAAAATTTCTGCTGCATTCGCAAATGCGACCAGTTTGGTTGCAATTGCGATAACCGGTCCTTCGCAAAGCGGAAGAATCTTCGCAAAAGCGAATCCCTCTTCTGCAGCCCAACTTCGCAAATGCGAGGCTTATTCGCAAATTCGATGGCCGCATTTGCAACTAGGACATCGCAAATGCGAAGAAACCAGAACCAGCAACCAACAATTAAGAAAAAATTATTTCAAACCAATCAAAAACTCACCCGAGCCCTCGGGGCTCCAAACCAAATATGCACACAAGTCTAAAACACAACACGAACTCGCTCGCGCGCTCAAATCATCAAAATAACTTCTAAAACCACAAATCGGACGCCAGACCGCATGAAAATCAAAACTAAACTTCAAGAACTTCTGATCGCAACCGAGCGTCCAACCATATCAAATCAACTCCGAATGGCGCCAAATTTTGCAGACAAGTTCTATATGACAAAAAGAACCTACTCCAAGCTTCAAATCACACATCACAACCTCGAAACGACGAATCACACCTCAAGTCAAAATCAATGACTTTGAAACTTCAACTTCTACAACCGATGCCGAAACCTATCAAATCATCTCCGATTGAGCTCAAATTTTGCACGCAAGTCACATTTGTCATTACGGACCTATTCCAACTTCCGAAATCGAAATCCGACCCTGATATCAAAAAGTCCACTTCCGGTCAAACTTCCCAAAAATCAACTTTTGCCATTTCAAGACTAATTCAACTACGTACCTCCAAATTACAATCCGGATGCGCTCCTAAGTCCAAAATCACCCAACGGAGCTAACGGAACTGACGAAACTCCATTCCGAGGTCAAATGCTAAAAAGTCAAACTTGGTCAATTCTTCCAACTTAAAACTTAAATCTTGAAGTTCATTCTTCCAAATCGATTACGGATAACTTGAAAACCAACACCGAACGCAAGTTATAATACATCATGCAGAGATACTTGAGCCCTCAAGATACCGAGTGAAGTGCAGATTCCCAAAACGATCAGTCGGATCGTTACATTTTGTTTTGTTTCAACAGCAAAAAGAGTATTTTCTTTTCAGTTATGGGCCTCATATTTATCCTATATACCATGTTCGTATGGTGGCGTGATGTTCTAAGTGGCTCAAATTCTAACGTTGTTCTTGCGTGAAAAAGTAAATTAGTTTCTTTGGGATTTGTGTGAATTTTTAAAAGAATAATTGAATTCTGGAAGGAAATAGAGTCCTGAAAACATTGAGTATTTGGGGGGGGGGGGGGGGGGGGAGAGCGGCACAGGAAACATGAAAATTTGGGTGGAGGGGAGTTGAGGAGAGTAGCATAGAAATTATTTTCCTAAAAAATATTTTCGACTCTCTAACCAAATACTAGAAAAAAAAAATTCACTCATCAATTAAACATGGGGAAATAAGTGATAAATTACTCATTTTCGAGGAAAATATACACACCTTAGAAGATTTAAAGGGCAATTGCTATTCATTGGTTAGTTTGGGCAGAAATTATGAACTGATTTGAGCTAGTATAATCTATGTATATCCTATGTATATGACTAGAAAAAGTAAACAATGAATATGACGAGCGATTTGTATAAAGATCCCAAAATAAATGGGTTTAGTTGAGTTGTACCCAAACATAGCTCATTATTAAAGTAGCTCATGCCCAACTAATTAAAACCTACGCGGATTGGGCGGGTCAAATGAATTTGGGCCACGTTTGCCACGCCTATGGTTATATGTGCAATGGCTCTATGGCTTGTACTATTTTTTTTTACAACTGGTTGAAGAACAATTAATCTTAAGCACAGATCTGGAGCAGGAAACAAAAAATCAACTGGCTTCTAAAGGTAAAAATGTAATTCATCTTGGTTTGCTCATTTGTGGCTTTCTGGGGTTCAAACATACAAACATAAAGACTCCCACCTACAAATTGAGACAAGATTTAAAAAAAGGAAAAAAGAAGAAATACCACCTACCACAAAATACACACAGCTCAGAAAAGGAACTACTTACTTATCGAATATTTGAGTAACCAAACTTTTATTAACATAAATTGACTACTCTTAAAATATTTTCAACAATGAATAAGTTGATTCGTCATATGGAAAATAAAATTTCTTACTAAAATTTTCATAAAAAGGAGGTCTATATACTATTAAAATATTTATATTCATTCTATCACCAGAGATTGTAATGAGGCGACAAGTACTCATCAATGCTTAATCAGAAGTATCAGATTCTGAGTCTATCATTGCTAGGAAACAGTTTACTCCAAAATGAAACTTTCAGCACGAATTCAAATTAATCGGATCCCAACGTGAATACCTAATATCGGATTAGGATAAAAAAGGTGTGCCACAAGGTAAAGATGCTTGGTTAGGAAATTGAAAAGTTAAGGGACCAATTTTGCAAGATCACTCAAATAAATGTGCTGATTTGTGTATTAAGTCAATAGTATATGATGACCAAAAGAGCAAATGTCAAATTCACAACTACCCCCTCAAAACAAAAGTAATCCTCAACAACCCTTGATGGCTTGAAGCTAAAAAAATTCAGAGACAAAAGGTGGTTGGTGAAAGCTAGTTTGACACTGACATTGGATTAGAGGTAGGACTTATATGTGCTTAAGGCTAACGTGCACCCGGCCCCCAACCCCAGCAGTCTTCTATCTACCTACCGTCTCTACCATTTTCTTATAGTAGTTGAAAATTTCTAACTTTGAGAAAACAAGCCAAAGTTTGTTTCTAAGAACACAAAAGGAGTTGAATTGTTTGCAGCAATGGCACAGATTAGCAGCATGGGGCAAGGGATACAGACCCCTAAATTCAATTCCTATCCTCCTAAAACCCAAAAGGGTTCTCTTTTATCACATTCTATCTTCTTTGGATCAAAGAAAATAACCCAAAATTCAGCAAAATCTTTATGGGTGTCCAAGAAAGATTCAGTTTTGAGGGTGGCAAAGTCACCTTTTAGGATTTGTGCATCAGTAGCCACTGCACAGAAGCCCACCGAGATTGTGCTGCAACCTATCAAAGATATATCAGGCACTGTTAAATTGCCTGGTTCTAAATCCCTTTCCAACCGTATTCTCCTTCTTGCTGCCCTTTCTGAGGTAAAGTTGCCAACCTTTTTTTATTTCTTTTGTTTTTGAGTTTGATTGGTGGATGCTGCGTTGTGGATTGCGATATCTTTGATGGGTTGTGGACTGAATTGACTTGAAGATTTGGTCTTTTCTCTTTGGTATAGTTAGTTGAATATGCAAGTGTGTTCATGGTGTGTTTGGTCTTTTATTTGGCATTCTGGTAAACATTAAGACTGCTTTTTCTATGGAGGAAATGTTTCTCTTAGGAAATTACTTTCTTGATCATTATCTAGTGTTTGGTTGGTATAAAAATAGGTGAACTATGGTAATTGTATATGGTTTAGGGTAGGGCGTGGTCGCGTGGAGTAATGTTTTGGTGATATTTTTTGGTAGTAAAAGTTGACAACAATGTCTAAGCAGTGATTGAAACATTTAACATTAGATAAGAGTTGGGATATTTAAGAAGGAAAATGCCCATTTTGGTGGAAACAATTGAGGAAAACCTTTTGGTAATCAAATACTGTAATAAACATTTTCATTGTGAAAGGGAGCAAAGAGTTGAAAGCAGTGGCGAAGCCAGAAATGTTTCCAAGGGTGTTCAGACCTGAAAGAACTAAAAAATATTCCGGACAAAGGGTGTTCAATATACAGTTTATACATCTAAAATCACTATTTACTTATATACACAGTGTAATTTTTCGTAATATTTCGGTGAAGGGACCACCCTTTGTAAAAGGTGGCTTCGCCCCTGGTTGAAAGCACGCTTTACTCTTGGTATAGGCTGTCCTAATCAACTGGGAACTCTCTTTTCAAACTGAAGGTGACCTGAACAACTGATACAGTATAATAAACAAATAGACAACCGTCAACCTCTTTAAGCTGCATAAGATGATCATTTTATCCATGTTTCTTTGTTCTTTAATTGTCGTGTGACATTTTCATTCTTTCGTATTCTTGATATACATTAATTACAACCTTGTGCTTCCATTACATGTCACTGGCACTTGAATTTCAGGGAAGGACTGTTGTTGACAATTTACTGAGTAGTGATGACATTCATTACATGCTTGGCGCGTTGAAAACACTTGGACTTCATGTAGAAGATGACAATGAAAACCAACGAGCAATCGTGGAAGGTTGTGGTGGGCAGTTTCCTGTCGGCAAGAAGTCTGAGGAAGAAATCCAACTATTCCTTGGAAATGCAGGAACAGCAATGCGGCCATTGACGGCAGCAGTTACTGTAGCTGGTGGACATTCTAGGTATTCAAATCGTTCCTTCTCCGTACTTCTTTTGGTTTTTGTCTCTCTTTGCTTTCCTTTTTTTTTCTTTGGTTTTGTTTCTTTGTGTTTTTTGTTTCGGAGGTTGTTGCTTTTGAAGCCATTTTGATAGTCTTCATGAATTGTGTTTAGGTATTGGTGGCAAAAGTTTTTGAAATGTACATTGATAATTTAATCTGTTTTTTGTTGAGATAATGGTTGCCGCTTGGTGATTAATAGATGTCAGTTAGGTCTTCAAAGGTCATGTGTTTTACCATCTTTCAAATACTTCTTAGTGGAACTTGCTTCTTTTTTCGGTCTAGAAAATGTTACCTCAAGTAGTAACTCCGTGAATAATTTATGTTCTACAGATATGTACTTGATGGAGTTCCTAGGATGAGAGAGAGACCGATTGGTGATTTGGTTGATGGTCTCAAGCAGCTTGGCGCAGAGGTTGACTGTTTCCTTGGTACAAATTGTCCCCCAGTTCGGATAGTCAGCAAGGGAGGTCTTCCTGGAGGGAAGGTGAGGATGATAATTTTGTTATGTCCACATGTATAATGTTAGTAAATGATATCCTGTTGTCTTAAACTGTAGGAATGGTACTATTCAAATAATGAATTAACTTGTAAAAGCAATGATATTTGCTTGAAAGTTAAATACCGAAAGATGCCTCTCATGACTCATCAGTTGGATACAATGAGTTACCGATGTATTTAGATACAGTTTTCCCTGTCTGTCTTGCGGGGACTTCTATTATTTCTATTGTATCATATCTCAATTTTATGATGTTCCTATACCAAAAATAGATCTAATTAGTATACTGTATACTATCATGAAATAAATAGGGGGGAGTCTTTAAGCTCAATATTCGAATTAATATTGTTTGAACACTTCTATTTATTTATTTGAATTTAAATTATGTGGATTGCCTCATCTAAAAACTTAATGTGATAGAGAGATGACACTTGTATTTATTAAATATTTAATTGTCTTAACTTGCTTTCTCACATACAACCTGATTTTTTTTCTTGGCCAAGCACATGGGAAATACTTTTTTCAGAATGAGTGACGGTAAGACTTGAACCCAAAACCTCATTCTAATATTGAATTATGTGAACAGCCTCACCTGAAAAGCTTAAGCTACAAGAGAGGGGACACTTCTATTTCATTTAATTGTGTCTTAACAAATACATTTTCTTTCCATCTGAGTTTTCATTTTCTTTCGTTTTGTTTTTATTTTGTAGAACTACTGAACATTTAAGTCTAGGAACAAGCATGTACTCTCTCCCTCTCACCATAGTGTAGATTTCTTTATATTCAAGCATGTTATCAAGCTTGTATTGATAACAAACAAGGCAACTCCAGTTTCTATCCACTTAACAAGAAGTCCTAAACGCGAAAGGCAGAGTGTAAAAACTTTCAAGTAACTTGTGGTCCCCCTTTATTTTGGCTTTGTTTCCTCCAAAAGTCTCTTGCCCCCTCCATTTGATCTCTTTCACATCCCTTGCTGCTGCTACTAAATTAAAGATAGATTCTGCAATCGTTTCTTAACATCATATTGATGAATCATAATTCATATCTTGTCTGTGGTTCACTACTCAGATATAATATTACCAGCTTACTTAGTTCTTGCTAAGTTACACTCCCTTTATATTTACCAGGTAAAACTCTCTGGATCTATTAGCAGCCAATACCTGACTGCTTTGCTGATGGCTGCTCCTCTGGCTCTTGGAGATGTGGAGATTGAAATAATTGACAAACTAATTTCTGTACCTTATGTTGAAATGACACTGAAGTTGATGGAGCGATTTGGTGTCTCTGTGGAGCACACTAGTAGCTGGGATAAATTCTTGGTTCGAGGAGGTCAGAAGTACAAGTAAGTCAGTTTTCATTCTGTGTCGATAATACGTTCCACGGACCGATGAAACTAACAATTACACAAATATCATAGGTCTCCTGGAAAAGCATATGTTGAAGGAGATGCCTCAAGTGCTAGCTACTTTTTGGCGGGTGCAGCTGTCACAGGTGGAACTGTCACTATAGGGGTCGAAATGGAATTCCGGAAGTTGCAGTAACTTTGTTACGTCATTTGGGATGTGTGTGCAAAATTTCAGGTCATTTAGACGTGGTTTGGTTGGGTTTTTGATCAAAAGCGGAATTCAGAAGATTTTAGAAAGTTTGGCTTGAATCCAACGTGTTTTGAATGATTTGATGTTGTTTGAAGTGTTTTGAAGATTGGAACAAGTTTGAATAAGGTATTACGATATGTTTGTGCCTTTGGTTGAGGTCCTTGGGGCTTCGGGGTGATTTGGGATGGTTAACGGAGAAGTTTGGACTTTGTTGCAGCTGCTGAATTTGCTGCTTCTGGTATTTTTTGCACCTGCGGATTGGGGACCGCAGGTGCGGCGCCGCATAAGCGGAGATTTGGTCGTAGAATCGGAAAAGGGCTTGAGGGGCAGGAACCGGCATAAGCGGCTAAGAGGACCGCATCTACGGAGTCGCAGATGCGGAAAATGGATCGCAGATGCGGTTTGCGGCTTGTAAGTGATTTCCGCAGAAGCGGATGAATGACCGCCAATGCGGTACCACAGAAGAGAGTATTGTGCCGCAGATGCGAAATGTCTGGGCAGAAGATGTAAATTGTGTCCTTNTGGAAGCTGAGGAGAAAAGTAAAAAAGAAAAACATCGTTTAATATTAACCATTTTGCTCAATTTAGGTTGCTGAATTTCTTGAATTGAAATTTAAAATGCCTCCATGAAACACGGAACTGTCAGATAGTGTTCTTGTTGAGTCGGCAATGTGCTATATTACATGGACCTGGGTATGGGTGGGTATCAGATGTAGTAGTGTATCCTTAACTTTTAGGCTCGATCGAGTATCATGTTTCTTCATATTAGGAGTAGTGTTTGCCGAGTCTCAATATCTTTCTAGTGGGAAGTAGGTGTATATAGTTTCTCATTGATGTATATGGGAAATCAGAAACAACAGTAAATATTGAACTGTTTGAAGACCTTACGAGAATAAAGAATTTTGTTGGAATGAATTGTGGGGTCATAAAGCATGGGTTAAAATGTTGCGGATTTTCATTTGAGCTGAGCATTTTTGTGATATTCTTTTCCTCACTTTCTTTCTTTATTGTGCTATACTTTTTACATACTCCTCTTTTCTCTGGTCAGTTGCTAGCTGGAGAGTTAAGGAAACTGAGCGGATGATTGCCATATGTACAGAACTTCGGAAGGTAAGCTTCTTAGCTGGTTTCATGGCATTTGCAGCTAACAAGCCTAGTGTAATCTTGAAGAAGTTCTCTTTGAAATTTCACTCCATCAATTATTTTGTTTTTCTTACTCTTGACATTTTGGATGAAATTTCAGTTGGGTGCAACAGTTGTAGAAGGGTCAGACTACTGCATAATCACCCCGCCAGAAAAGTTAAACGTAACGGAAATTGATACATATGATGATCACAGAATGGCCATGGCTTTCTCTCTTGCTGCTTGTGCTGATGTTCCAGTCACCATTAAGGACCCCGGTTGTACTCGCAAAACCTTCCCCAACTATTTTGACGTTCTCCAGCAGTACTCCAAGCATTAAACCACTTTCTATTTAAGTAATTATTTTTAACAAGAGAGACTGTACCAGTTTGGCAACCAAAATGCTGCCCATACCGGAAGAGAAAAAGCTTAGATCCAAGATTTCAACGCCTTTTCATTTGTCGTGTTGAAGTTGTGATCATTGTATTTGTTGAAGCTGAGTTTCTTTTCTTCTGTCTAGAGGACATGTATACTATAGAGTTAAGATGAACTAGCATGGTGCAGTATAAGAGGTAAGTACTATTTTGAACATGAGGGACACAATACCTTTATCTTTATGTGGAATTATTCTCTGTATTAAAAATCGATTGACTTAAAATGAGAATGTGTGATTCAGTAATTTTTCTCCAGCTACAGAGTAGAGAGACTATATAGCTAGCCTTGTGATGCTACTTCATTATATGCACTAAACTTTCTGTGGTGTTCCTAAGATGCTCTGCTGCTAACAAAATTAGTATAACAACTAGAAGATTATTGATGAAAAATGAATTTTAGATATTGTAAAATAAAGTTGAACAAAAATAAGAGAGATAAACAAGAGATGTAGAGAAGCTTTTAATCAAAGTATATGTAATGTTATTAACTTGAATTGCTTTAGTTTTTGTTTCATGGGAGTATTAATTAGAATTTAGAAGCTTAAATTCTTGATTTCTGATGCATATCAAGAAAATGAAAAATTGACATGTAATATTCTAATGGATTTCTTGATTTTTTTTTCTTCTTGTATTTTTTTGAGAAAATGACACTGTATAGCCGCTCTCAAAATAATAGTCGAAAAAATATATATTTTTTGTATATATATACATTCTGTATGTTATATACAAAACTTATACACTTTCTCGACTACAAATATAAATAATTTCTGACAATGGGTTAAAATGATAATACACTGTTTTTTTCGGGAAGAGGCAAGTCCAAAAGAAACTAGAAGGCCCTCTTCGTTTTTCTGGCAAAGGAAATCTAGGATCTTAACAAACGAAGACACTTAATTTTGACTTTTCGTTGTTGTCCATTTAGATGTTGATATGGGTTGAGACAATCTAGGATCTCTTCCAATTTTTGACAACTACTTGTTTAATTAGTTATATCTATCATCTAATACTTCTTTCGTTTAATTTTATATGACATTGTTTAACTAGACATAGAGTTTAAGATATTAATTTGACTTATATAATATATTTGTAATGATAAAAGAAGACGTTAAACAAAGGAAGAAAATATTACATCACAGTTATAGCATAATAATATAAGTAGATGAATTTCAATTCTGAAAAGTCGTATAAAAATAGAATTGTGGTTAGACATATTGAAATATTTCAAACTAATATATAATAGCATGAAACTCAAGATTTTTCGGAAGACTCAAAGATTGTTCCATGAGTCGAGGTGAGATCCAAATCTGTTCACGAGAATAATAATAATAAGGTAGGCACATGATCGCAATTTGAATTGACAATTCATAGAGTTTTCTCAAATTTATTTCTCTAATTATATTCTCCTTTTTAAATCGCAACAGCTATATAGAAAATCATAATGTGTTGATGAATAAAAAAATTTATAAACGAAGAAGAATCATAGCGTAGAATCGAATATTTTTTCAGTAAAATAGTTTAATTAACAAAAAATATATTTACGTTTGATTAGAATCATATCCTAAATAAGAGTGGTAAGGCACGAAATTACAACCACCAATGGCAAATCTAAATCTCAAGAACTCCAAGATTAAGACTTGTACTTGTAATAAGCTATTAAATATTGGGAACAAAAATAAATAAAATAAGTATAAGCAGAAAGAACCGCCAAGTCCATGTGAACAAGTTGCCAAACAAGTAAGGCAACCATGTCCCAACTATTGTTTCTTTATAATCTGGCATCATGTTCCATGCTTTCCTAGTTATTATTTTCAGTACACTTTAAATAAAATAATAAACTTTGGAAAATTATTAAACTAGTCACCTCCCTCACTGTTTCTTTTTTTTTTTTTTTTTTTTTTTTAAAATCTTCGCACCGCCCATATATCTCTGCATCACAAGTATTTACTATAAAAAAGATTCTATTATCTCAAATTAAGGTCCCCAATTAGGATAATATTTTCTCGAAAAGATACATTAAACTCATAGTCCGTAGTATGACAGAGTTAGTATTTTATAAACTTCACGAGGATCAATCCGAATGCGTCAAGGGTGTTACAAGAACTTTTTTTGATCAATTCATGTAACTAAGAGAATTTTATGACCAGAGGTGATTGAATTAAATGATAAGCGACTTACCTTGAAATTCAGAAATTTGGAGTTTGAGTCATGTTTAGAGATATGCGTAGGAAGTCATTATTAATTAATTTTTTGGAATTCGGGCTAAATATTTATCGACTATATGATAATATCTCATGATGATTCTAGCGTCATGAGAAGAAGAAAGGGGCTTCGTGTACATAAAAAAATGGATATATTGTTATGATGAGAAGCAAGTTGCTTTTCTTTGATTTCCTTTTTCGAGCAGGAAAGAAAATGAAAATGGACCTCAGATAATAATTGTGATTGATTTGAGAATCTTACGCGGCAAAGCGAACTCTTCTATTATACTGCATTTTCTCTAACAACCCCTGAGCCATCGTTAGGAAAGTGAAGGAGATTGGTTTGCATAGGGGGAAGCTATGTTGGCCCAAGGGTGGTCACCTTTCATCGAAAAATTATATTACGTATAAGGTAAAATATTGTTTGTTATTGATTAAAAATAGATTTTGAACACCTTTGCATAGCCCAGTAACAATATTGAATTTTCTGGCTTCGTCACTGATTTGCATACTATAGTATAGGAAATATATGCATCATATATGATGATTGTTTTCACTATTATTAAGAAAGTCAAAGAGGCAATGTAGTATATTTAATTACTAGCCTTTTGAATTTTCTTCGGTCAACGTCACTGTTCTTACTTTTTAGGCAAAAAAAAAAAAGCTTTAAGTTGAAGGAAGAGTAGAGTTAGGTGTTGGTAATTTTAATTTAGTGAGGCTAATAATAATGGACATACAAATTCACATGATAGCTGGCCTAACAAACTTTACAACATAAGCCACTGAATATAAGGGAAAGACATGTTATGTTTCTTGCCTTGCTTTCAAGGTTGCCTTATTACCAGCAAACTAATGTGAACTTTCACATGACTCTGTCTCCTTTTGGGGCATTTTGCATTAACTCAAACACCTCATCCTCTATTTTAAACCTCCACCACTCTAGGGAAGATGCAAAGTATGGATACTTACCACATTTAACTTGATAAAATGGGAGTTTTGGTGCAAATGTATAGAGTTGTTGTATGAACAAGAGGTTATCAGTTCAGGCCGTAAAAATAATTTATAACAAAATGTATTATAAGATTGCATATATATATAGATTCGTTGTGATCTGATCCTTCATCCAACCTTGTGTATTACTGTATTAGAAAGAGATTAGACTCAATTACTGACTTAAATCTTTGGTCTATTTTTACCTACTCACGAAAATTAAGAAATAAAGAAAGAAAAGAAACAATATATGCAAGGAAAATGAGGAGATGTAAAAAAAAATGAATATTTAGTTTGTGATGTTCTAATATTCATTATTTAAACAAGTTGTTCCAATCTCATCAAAAGTCTTCCCTTCCCCTATTTAGTGGCTTACCCCTCCCTCTAAATAACTTTATAAAATTGTTGTTGAGAGGAACTTGTTTTGTTGTGGATTGTACTCGTGCAAAATTGGAGGGCTATTGCCTCTAATCTTTTTCTTCCTTTTTTTCATTGCATTTTTAGAGAACAAAAGCCATGTGGAAGGAAGCGAGAAATCAATATTTGACAAGAAACCTTTATTTGTCCTTATCAATGGGTCCCGAAAAAAGCACTAGTGGGAAGCATTTAGTCACTCATTTGATACATTCTTTTTCCATGTTTCAATAAATCGGATAGTGAACGAAAACCTTTTTTACATTTAGAGAAAAAATGAAAAGTTTGTTTTTCTATAATTGATTGTTGAACTAACATCTAAGGGGCATATGTCTCATTAACTAGAGCAGTACATCGGTACACGCTTATTGAAAAAAAAAAAAAACAACTTACAAAGAAAAGTGTATTATAAAATTATAGCTATATAAGCCAAGAAATATAGATAAAACTTTATACTTTATCAAGTTGTATTCACGTCTATCTTATTGATGTCTTTTGTAGAATCAGAAACACCGTATATATAGTGTACAATTTACATGCGAGTTACAAAATATTAAAGGAGTGTAATAAACATATTCATGTATAATCCAAAATGGTTCATGGATGAGTTGTTGGACATTCACAAATTCAGTGTATTCATAACACTCCCCCTTGAATGTTCCTAGATAATGTGCCTCGTTAAAACCTTACTAAAAAAAACCCGGTGGGAAAAAGCCTAGTGAAGGAAAAAAGAGTATACATATCTTGTAATACGCATTGAGTGTTGCCTCGTTAAAAACCTTATCAGGAAAATCCAATTGGGACAAAACTTTGGTTAAGGGAAAAAGAGTACAACGCGTATTATACTCCCCTTGATGAAACTTTATTTGATATCTCGGATACGACGCATTCCAATCTCATGTCTCAGCTTCTCAAATGTTGATGTTGGCAATGACTTAGTGAATAAATCTGCTAAATTGTCACTTGAACGGATTTGTTGAACATCTATCTCACCATTTTGCTGAAGATCGTGTGTGAAAAAGAACTTTGGTAAAATGTGCTTTGTTCTGTCTCCTTTGATATATCCTCCTTTAAGTTGAGCTATGCGAGCAGCATTATCTTCATACTATATCGTTGAAATCTTCGTTTTTAAAGAAAGACCACACAGTTGTTAAGTGTGTTGAGTCACGGATCTCAACCAGATACACTCTCGACTAGCCTCATGAATAGCTATTATCTCTGCATGATTGGAACAAAGTTTATATTGTTGAACGCCATGAAATAGTTGTACCTCCACAAGTAAATAGATAGCCTGTTTGAAATCGGACTTTATGTGGATCGGACAAATAACATGCATCTGCATAACCAGTCATTTGTGAATCGGATTCAAAAGAATAAAATAATCCCATATCAATAGTCCCTCGGGGGTATCTTAAAATAAGCAGTGTCTTGTTGTTGGAAAGGAACTAAATCTTGTTAATAAACTTACTGCAAAAGTTATATTTGGTCGAGTATTATTGCAAGATACATTAGTGCGCCAATTGCACTAAGATATGGAGTTTAATCACCAAGAAGATCTCCATCATTTTCATGAGGTCGAAATGTATCTTTATTTATATCAAGTGATCTCACAACCATCAAGGTACTCAATGGATGTGCTTTATCCATATAAAT